ACCGGTTGCCCCCGCCCCCGGCGCTCCCTGGGGTCCCTGTGCCCAGCGTGTTTCGGGGAGCAGCGCGGTGCTCAGGCCGCCGCAGCGGGGGGCGCTGGGGCACCCCGGCGTCGGCAGCAGCTGTTCAGCCGGGAGAGAGGGCGCCAAGTCCCCGCACCAGGCAGTAGCGCACCTGCCTGTCCCGGGGACACGCCTTCGTGTTATATTAGCTGCAAAATAACCTCCTCTAATCCTATGATTTGAAGTGACATCTCTGACATTATTGGCTATTTCACGAGGTTTTGAGCGTAGCTTGTTTGCTTTCCAGGTCAAATCACACAGTGATTGCAGCACCTCTCTCTGTTCAGCCTGCCAAACCTCTGCAGTACCTGTAATAGTGTTTTCACAGGGAAAGCCTGGGGTTTATGTACGTGAAATAGCACATTTTGGATATTTAAGATGTGCAGAAAACTCACCTGAGTGCTTCAGGAAACACTGCTGCTCTGGGGCTTCTTCCTTTGTTTCTTTCAGAGGCCTGAGTCACAAACCCTTTCAAAGATAATGTTATATTTACACAACATTGATAAAAGACAAGAAGTAGAAATAAAAATCAATTATCTGACCTGCTGCTTTAGTATCTGAAATGGCTTCAGCACTGTAAGCTTTTACATGCCCATGAAGCATCTCTAAATCACATAAGCTGACTGTGTCTCTGTTTCCTTCACAGAATTACCCTTTTGGAGAGTCTTAGATAATGCCTTCTAAAAAGGCTGCAACCTCTTCCAGATACCTTCAGACCATTGCATCTTTTCTGGTCATTGGCTATGGTACAGGAATTTCACACAGTTGTTGTTGGAAACCTCACAATTTCAGCAATGTCTAACTTTATCCATAGCTGCAAGAGTTGCAGTTACACTGACAACTTCCAGAAGTGTAGCAAAAGTATAAGCAGAAATCACTAGTCAAGAGCAGATAGTTTCCATTAGCAGTGGCAAAGGTTTCTTTTTGAATGTTTTTCCTGACAGTGGAAGATGGAAGACATCCGTTCTGGGCCTTCTTGCAGTATTAGATTCAGGAAGTCATAGAGAGAGGGGGCACAGATGGGCCAAAATGTTTTACATGCTACTTGGAGAGATGCAACCAAGGTGGGAGATCACATCTCCACTACAAGACAACTCCACGTTTGTAGAGATCAGGCCTCTCCATCATTGCCATCAAGTTTCAGTGTGTAGCTACAGAGGGATCTGATCTGGACTCAGGCACCAAACAGAAGCAGCACAGTTTTGTGTATCTTCTGCTGTGTACCAGCTCATTATTCCCACAAGGATATCCTTGTACTAGGATAAGGCCAGCCCTTGGATGAAGGGCTAACTTGAATGAAGGGCTAACCCTTGGATGAAGGGGTAACAACAACAGCTAAGCCGAATACAAGCTAGATAGTGGTTTTACTGATGGACAAAGAAAACATGTTGAGGATTTTAAGCTCAAGGACAGTGTTGACTAAATAAATGGTTATAAACTGTCTGAAATGAGTGTGGTCTGGAAAGTCAAAGAAAGGAGTGAAACTGCATTTATGGAGTGAACTTCAGGAATATCTTGTCCATAAGCATAGTGAGGATAAACAGAGTTACTTCAAAGTGACTCTGTCCAAGTTTATGACCATGACCAGACTGTGACAATAATAGGGGAACTGCTGCTTAGGATTCTTGCCTTTCTCCTGGATGGCCGTGTTGCAACACAGCTGCGCAAATGCACCTTGCTACTATCCCTTAGCACAGAACAGTCACGTGTGCTGCGTGTGTGTGTTTGTGTGTAAACCTGTGACACAAGCACATTAGGCCTTGTTCTAGTTTCCTAAGAAATATTAAGTAAAATTAAGGCTTCTGTGACTTATCTTGAAGGTGTTCATGACTTAGTTGTCGCAGCTTCTTTAAAAGATTGCCTAAACTCAGTGATGATGATGACTGTGGTTGACACCTCTGATTCTTAGATGCTTTCTCAAAAGGATATTATTCATCCACTCAGGAGACAAAAATCCTTTGCTGTCCAATGGAAACCTTGAAATTAATTCCCTTCACAGCTGGACACCACTGCAAAATGAACCTCTTTCTTTCTCTAGTGTAAGACACTATTTTTAATTATGTTCTCTATATTGAGCAGCATTTGTTAGAAAAAATAATTGTTAAAAACCTCTCACTAGTCCCTTAGAATATTCCCTCTCCATAAAAATACTAGATCTTGATATGCTCCAGTATATTAGTCATCATGGTAACATAAGCCTTATATGGCGCTCCTACGTTACTGTTTCCTATATCAATGTATTTTATCAAGACAATTTTTTTTACTCTTCAGTGCCATATGTATTTTCTGAGGACTGCATACAGACACATACTCACAGGTATGTGCTCTTTCTCTCTCCTCAGACACAAGTTTGAAAAAGTAGAGTTTCTGGTGTTACTGATGAATGTGACCACCAAGTCATCTGTTGGTGAGATTTTATAGGCTGGAGGTATTCAGTTGTTAATAGCTAAGGAGTTAATTCATGAATGAGATTGTAAAGAACAGCAAAAGATCTTGAATTTGAAGGTGGGTTTTTTTGGTTTTGGTTTTTGAAAATTGTTGCACCACATGCCAGTCTGTACTTTTGTTTTCAATTAACACATTTTTTTCCACATAGTGAATGCTACATAGTTCTGGGGGGGGGGGAATTTCTGATTACAGACAGGAGGGCAGCTACTGGGAGGATTATTAGTATCTGTTGTATACTGCTACCACATCTTTAGTCTTCTCTTTCACATCACTGCAATGGAGTATCCGTTGCAAGGTTCATCAGAAACTTTTAGCAATCTTGTAACCCTTGAGTGAACTGATTGGGAAAACTTGACAGCCCCCTGGAGTCTTTATTCACAAAATAGTCTTCACTAGACTTTTCAGATTCCCTGATTTTATACCCTCATTATATAATTAGTTTCATATTAGAGGTAACCTGTGGGTATTTCTGTAATGATTTTATTCTGGAAATGTGTGCCTTTAAAACATCACTGTAATGGCAAATCTTATAACTTAAATCCTGGTTCTAAAAGGTTGCAATTGAAGGTACTGCAGAACTTTGTTTTTCAAAAAGGAAACCACATTCCCTGTTAAGCTTCCAGGCTATTTTCAGATGGTTTCTATAAAAAGATTTTTTAGGAGACAGTAGATGAGGTCTACCCCCTCCCTGACACATAGCGTTCTGTGAGTTTATTCTTAGAAGCATGTTCTGATGGATTACAACTTTCTGGTAAGGAGATGGGAACTGCTTAAGGACAGCTCAGAAATGTGATTACACACTTCTCCAGCATGTCTGGAGATGGGGATATTAATAACTGCCAGCGGCCTTGCTTGCTTCAGCAGGTGGTAGACAGCAAAGAGGAGAGGAGCTGCTCACTTTGTATTCTCTCAAGAGAAAGGAGGTTGTTCTCTCCATGAACTGCAGGGATACTGTGGCAGCTCTAATGGTAATGAGTTACAGACCTCTGAGACTTCATGTCTTTGAAAACCTGGAAAGTTTTGTTTCCAGGTTGCTCTCTGGCTGAAGAAAAACCTCAGCTGTTCTTACTCAAACAGTCAGTTAAAAACTTCTCCAGGAAATATTCTAACTGATAAAACAGTTGCCCTATAGTTAGGCAATAAATGCTGTGTAGTAATCAGGGCAGGACTGTGTTGGTTTGTTCTCTTTTAGAAGAACAAATTTATAAATCAGAGCTGGCATCTGGACTGGCGTGGGCTTTGTGTAAGTAGTTGCACACACACACACACATACATACATACATACATACCCATACCCCTTGTGGGAAATGGAAGATTGGGACGTGGCTGTTCTAACTCTTTTGCTGCAGTGGCATATTTAGGAAATTGTTTCATAGTACAATCATTCAGGCTGCTCATTAGCAAACTGAATATAATAAATATTTATTTTTTCATGGAAACCAATGTTTCCAAATCTTCCAGAAATAAGCATTTGGTTTCCTTTGCTTCCTTTAAATCTGGACTAGAAAGAGTACTATACAATCATACCTGAATTTGTGAATGGATGGGTTTCTTTTATTACAAAGTTGGTGTCTTAATGATGGAGATGGATGAGCCTTCACTCCAAAATAACATATCATAATCTTTATGAGGTTATTCTATAAATTTGGGATAAAAATTCCTAATGAGACATTGTAGTTTAGTTATGGTCTTAATTGTCAAATCTCCTCAAGTTATGCTGTAGCCAGACAGATTTAGATGTTTTAAGCCAATCTGTAAATGCCTGGAGTAAATGCCAATGCTTATGTCAATCAGATCTCATGCCGTCTGGTTACTGGTCCATCCAGTTACTGGTAAGAACTCAAGCTGCAACTGTAAGTAACAGAAGACAAAACTAAGATACCTATAGTAGTCA